AACATTTCTTACATATGTGGGTAGAGAAAACATGGGAAACCTTTGCTGCAAATGAGTTTTCAAAGCCACGGGATGCTTTGTAAATCTTTGGTGAAAATAGATCCTCTCCAAGTTTTGGTGCAATCCCCAAGCTGCTCTGAGGGGGTGGAAATCTGTTCCACTGACTGGCCCCAGGCATTTGTTCAAAGTCCAAGGGTGGCGGGCAGGGTTCCCTCCAAACTGAGCTAGGGTGCGCTAGCTTTTAATTGATGAGCGCAGGCATTTCTGCCTTAGTGCAGATCAACTTACATCAAAGTAGCCCCACTGAGCTGCATAAGGCGTTCCTGAAAGCAGCCTGGCTTGAAGCTCCTCAGGGGAAACATTCTTCCTTTGTCTGCAGCACTGAAAGGGTTAAATCCACAGAGCTGTTTGCTAGAGAGGCTGAGCACAGAGTCAGGGGAGAGGAAAAGAGGAAAGGTTATTTTCCTGTGTGTGTGAGTACGCATGGGGTGGGGGAGGGTTTACTTCTGAATTGGGAAGGAGAACAGGAAGGGCTTCAGATTTGCAACAGCCGGGAAAAGCCTTGCAGCTGCATCCCGGGAAGGTTTACTTAGAAATAAGGCGTGTGTGTAAATATTTAAATCTTGGAAGGGAAGAAGGCTGGGATCATTCTCAGCCACAATTGCATTTCTGTTGCCCCACGGAGAGAAAACACCGGAACTCAAATGCAGGCAGAAAGGGCCCCTCTGGGAGTTTTTAAAAAGAGGGAAGGGACAGAGCTTAGAGTCCAAAGAAAGGAGACTGGATTTGGACCTCTCCCCCCTACCTTTAAGGGCTTGCTCTGTCCTCAGGGATAAACTCTCCACTTGTAACTCCAGAACTAGAGGGAGAAAGAGGGAAATCCCTGCCTGGGAAAGAGAAAAGCTGTCTGGGAAGGGGGGGGTCTAGTTGTTGTTTTTTGCATGGGGGTGTATCTGAAGCCGCAGCCTGTTCTTCGGTGGGGCTGGGAGGGAGGATTTATGCAAGGGCACCACAAAGCAGTGAAGGAAGGAGTGGCAGTGCTTGAAGGGGCGACTCAGGGAGGGTTGCCAACCTCCCAGTGGGGCCTGTAGATCTCCCAGAATTAGAACTGATCCCCAGGTGACAGAAAATGGCTACCTGACAGGCAGTATACCCTGTGGAGGCCTCACTTCTCCCCCAAACCCCTCTATGCCTATGCTCTGCCGCCCAAACCTTCAGGTATTTCCCACCCAGGAGTTGGCAATTCTAGGTAGCTGGCCAGAGATCTTGCAAGCAAGAGGCAGGGGGGTGGGGTGGGGAGAAAAAGGCATTTTCTTTTTTCTACTCAACCGTTCTATTTTCTGAGATGGCTCCAGAGTTGCTCTGACAAACCAGGGAGAAAAGTTATTTTTCCACCCTCCCTGTTGGTGTTGCTGACACTTTCCTGACTTCTGGGGAATAAGCCTAGCAGAGGGATATTGTGGAGCTAATCTGTGCCAGCATGGTCCAAGTTCCTTCATTTTTGGTACAGCAAGTGGTGGCCTGAAGTGGTGGTCAATTTTTAGGCTCC